TATATATATATATATATATATATATATATATATATATATATATATATATATATATATATATATATATATATATATATATATATATATATATATATATATATATATATATATATATATATATATATATATATATATATATATATATATATATATATATATATATATATATATATATATATATATATATATATATATATATATATATATATATATATATATATATATATATATATATATATATATATATATATATATATATATATATATATATATATATATATATATATATATATATTTGAAGTCAGAATTATTAGCCCCCTTTGATTTTTTTCTTCTTCTTTTTAAAATATTTTTCAAATTATGTTTAACAGAGCAAGGAAATTTTCACAGTATGTCTGATAATATTATTTCTACTGGAGAAAGTCTTATTTGTTTTTTTTTTTTGGCTAGAATAAAAGCCGTTTTTAATTTTTTAAACACTATTTTAGGGATTATTAGCCTCTTTAAGATAATTTTTTTCTCTATAGTCTACAGATCAAACCATCATTATACAGTAACTTGCCTGATTACCCTAACCTGCCTAGTTAACCTAATTAACCTAGTTAAGCCTTTAAATGTCACTTTAAGCTGTGTAGAAGTGTCTTGAAAAATATCTAGTCAAATATTATTTACTGTCATCAAAGCAAAGATAAAATAAATCAGTTATTAGAAATGAGTTATTAAAACTATTATGATTAGAAATGTGTTGAAAAAATCTTCTCTCCGTTAAACAGAAATTGGGGAATAAATAAACAAGCGGTCTAATAATTCAGGGGGGCTACTAATTCTGACTTTAACTGTATATATATATATACACACACTACCAGTCAAAAGTTTGGGCTTCTCCTGCACACCAAGGCTACAGTACACATATAATTGTGAAATGCTATTACACTAAAATAACTATTCAAAAGTAGTTTATATTTTATTTAATCATTTATTCCGGTGATTTAATGATGAGCTTTCAGCTTCAGAGTCACATGATCCTTCATTAAATCCCTCTTATAATAATAATTATTATTATTATTATTATTATTATTATTATTATTGTAATAGTAATAAAAGCAATAATGACTGAAGTAATAACTTCATTTGAAACTACATACAATAAGAAAGCCGTTATTTGACATTAACAATTTAACAATTATTCACACACATTATTTCATTATTTCGCACTCAAGTAATGCTTAACCTGTTTTATATATGTTTTATGCTATTTACTGTCATCATGGCAAAGATAAAATAAATCAGTTATTAGAAATGAGTTATTAAAACTATTATGTTTAGAAATGTGTTGAAATTATCTTCTCTCCGTTAAACAGAAATTGGGAAATAAATAAACAAGCGGTCTAATAAATCAGGGGGGCTAATAATTCTGACTTCAACTGTATATATACACAGACTACCAGTCAAAAGTTTGGGCTTCTCCTGCTCAGCAAGGCTACAGTACACATATAATTGTGAAATGCTAAATAAAATAAATAAATAAATAAATAAATAAATAAATAAATAAATAAATAAATAAATAAATAAATAAAATAACTGTTCAAAAGTAGTTTATAATTTAATTTAATCATTTATTCCGGTGATTTTAATGATGAGTTTTCAGCTTCGGAATCACGTGATCCTTTATTAAATCACTTTAATATGAATTATTATTATTATTATTATTATTATTATTATTATTATTATTATTATTATAGTAATAAAAGCATTAATGACTCAAGTAATAACTTCATTTGAAACCACTTACAATAAGAAAGCCGTTATTTAATATTAACAATTTTTATTCATACATTTATGAATACATACATTTATTCATTATTTATACAATTATTCACACACATTATTTCATTATTTCGCACTCTCAAGTAATGCTTAACCTGTTTTATATCTTAGAAAACATTTGGCTCATCCGACCATATAACAGGTTAACTAAAATTTAAATTTTAGTGTCTCAGTGGTTAGCACTGAATATATCACTATATAACTAACGATATATTACTTTTAACTATTAAAAATGTTCATAAAAGTCACTTTTTGCAACTTTTCAAGGTTAAAAGTTGTCGGAAGAAAGATCAAGGCTACATAATGCAATTCAAAAGCAGAAATAAACAGAGAAAAAATAAAAAACTTATCATAAAATACAGAAAACTGCTAATTTACTGATATTTTATGAGCCACTTTATATAATGCATCTATCAAATATGTAAATAAACATCCTTTCTCACCTTGGCACTTTCCACAGAAGTGTTTGGTTTGTGTCTGTTCTTGTAATTGAGCAGCACAAACTCAGCCATTTCTCTCTCCCTTACAGACAGACAGAATCAAAACCAAACCCAACGTCACCATAGGGACACGCCACATGTGTCTTTGTCCGCACACCTGACGTCACTTTCACCTGTTTGCATATGCGCTTCCCTCTGTACACCAAACAAGCAGCGAATGACCATAACAATAGACAACCAGCATGTTTTTATTTTGTCTTGTTGTTGTCTGTACACCTGCAGGTAAGCAGAAGTAGCAGAAACGAAATATAAATCCTGAGTTTGATTATTGCTGTTGACACTGTAAACTCTATATTCACAGTGTGTGTGTTTTTTCTCTCAGTGAAACTAGGTGTGTCTGCTTCACGGTATTTAAATCATACAAAAATGACTCCAGACAGATGGATTATGGACTCCTGAACTGAAGAAGTGATCCTTCAGGTGGATGGATATCATAGTTTGACTTCTTTTAAAACAATAAAACTATAGTTTAGATCATGTCAAGTTGAGTTGATGAGTCTGGATTAAGTGAAGGCGTCATCTAGGGCTCTCTCTCTGTCTATGTTTTTTCTCTCACGCTGATAAGATGACAGAAAAGCAGTTGATCTTTGGCCCCTATGAGGGCCCACAGGTGATCTGACGAAGGAAAGCTCGGGAGCGTTTCTCTGTTCTGGCTGGATTGGTGGACGTTTTGGAGGTATGTGTGTTGCTGTTTTGACGTTTTTATAATTGTAACCTGCTGGGTTTTTGAATTGGAGCGTGTGATTTATGATTTAAATCTGTCGTCGTTGGGTGTGTGCTGAACAAATAGTGTGAAAGACATGGTGTGCTCGTGCATTAGTGTGTCAGTGTTGTTTGTTTACTGCTGAGATATTATCTAGGCTTTTATTAAAGGCTCCAAGATTTTTTGGGATTTCAAAAAATAATTTGAATTAGTTTTTTTGTGTTATTTAGTCTGTGTTTGATAAATATTAGTGCTGGGCTTAGATTCTCATCCAAAATAAAAGTTTGATTTGACATTATATGTGTGTGTGTGTATGATGTATATGATGTATACAGGATTCACACAAAGGTGAGGCAGTGGCGCAGTAGGTAGTGCTGTCGCCTCACAGCAAGAAGGTCGCGGGGTCGAGTCTCAGCTCAGTTGACGTTTCCGTGTGGAGTTTGCATGTTCTCCCTGCGCTAGCGTAGGTTTCCTCTGGGTGCTCCGGTCTAATTCAGGTGAATTGGGTAGGCTAAATTGTCCGTAGTGTATGAGTGTGTGTGTGAATGTGTGTGTGGATGTTTCCCAGAAATGGGTTGCGGCTGGAAGGGGATCCGATGTGTTAAAACGTGCTGGATAAGTCGGCGGTTTATTCCGCTGTGGCGACCCCGGATTGATAAAGGGACTAAGCCGACAAGAAAATGAATGAATGAATGATTCACACAAAACTATAAAAAACCTATTTTGTTATATAGATGTTTAAATTCACATATTTACATATATGTTTTATATCTAAATATAAATCAACATTTTCTTAAATATAGGCATGCTTTTGTGTGTGGTTTATATAAAGTACTCGCATATATCATGTTAAAACAAACTTTTATTTTGGATGCGATTTTAGTTTTTTTTTTAATTTAAAATTCATATTAAAAAAATCTTTAAGTCAGGCGTTTTTCAGTGTTTTCTGTGTGTGAATTCTGAATGGCATTATGGGACTTTTTTGAAGTGATACATGGTGGTTGGTGCTGTAAATTATGGTAAATAACATACATATTTATGTGTGTGTGTATATATATATATATATACATATTTATGTGTGTGTGTATATATATATATACATATTTATGTGTGTGTGTGTATATATATATACATATTTATGTGTGTGTGTGTATATATATATACATATTTATGTGTGTGTGTATATATATATATATATACATATTTATGTGTGTGTGTGTATATATATATATATATACATATTTATGTGTGTGTGTATATATATATACATATTTATGTGTGTGTGTATATATATATATACATATTTATGTGTGTGTGTATATATATATATATACATATTTATGTGTGTGTGTATATATATATATATATACATATTTATGTGTGTGTGTATATATATATACATATTTATGTGTGTGTGTATATATATATACATATTTATGTGTGTGTGTATATATATATACATATTTATGTGTGTGTGTGTGTATATATATATATATATATATATATATTTATATATATATGTTTATATATATATATATATGTGTGTGTGTGTGTGTGTGTGTGTGTGTGTGTGTGTGTGTGTGTGTGTGTGTGTGTGTGTGTGTGTGTGTGTGTGTGTGTGTGTGTGTGTGTGTGTGTGTGTGTGTGTGTGTGTGTGTGTGTGTGTGTGTATACATAGGCCACTTTATTAGGTACACCTTAGTTGGACCCCCTTTTGCCTTCAGAACTTCAGAACAGAATCTTTCATGGCATAGATTCAACAAGATACTGGAAATATTCCTCAGAGATTTTACATGATAGCATCACGCAGTTGCTTCAGATTTGTCGTTTGCACATCCACGATGTGAATCTCCCATTCCACGACATCCCAAAAGTGCTCTATTGGATTGAGATATGATGACTGTGGAGGTCATTTGAGTATACAGTGAACTCATTGTCATGTTCAAGAAACCAGATGTTTCACGCTTTATGACATGGTGTGTTATCCTGCTGGAAGTCATCGGGTACACTGTGGTCATGTAGGGATGGACATGGTCAGTAACAATACCCAGGTAGGTTGTGGCGTTGACACATTGCTCAATTGGCCCAAAGTGTGTCAAGAAAATATCCCCACTCCATTACACGAAAACAAGCCTGAACCGGTGATACCAGGAAGGATAGATCCATGCTTTCATGTTGTTGACGACAAATTCTGACCCGACCATCAGAATGTAGCAGCAGAAATTGAGACTCATCAGACAAGACAACGCTTTTCCAATTCTATATTGTCCAATTTTTGGTGAGCCTGTGTTAATTGTAGCCTCAGTTTCCTGTTCTTAGCTGACAGGAGTGGCACCGGGTGTGATCTTCTGCTGCTGGTGCCCATTCGCCTCAAGGTTGGACATGTTGTGTGTTCAGAGATGCTCTTTAGTAGACCTCGGTTGTAACGAGTGCTTATTAGAGTTGCTGTTGCCTTTCTATCTGTCTCTTTTTTGGACCATTTTTTTGTAAACCCTAGATATGGTTGTATGTTAAAATCCCAGTAGATCAGCAGTTTCTGAAATACTCAGACCAGCCCGTCTGGCACCAACAATCATGCGACATTTAAACTCACTTAAATCCCCTTTCTTCCCCATTCTGATGCTCGCTTTGAACTGCAGCAGATCATCTTGACCATGTCTACATGTCTAAATGCATTGAGTTGCTGCCATGTGATTGGCTAATTAGAAATTTGTGTTAACGAGCAGTTGAAGGTGTGTACCTAATAAAGTAGTAAGGCTTTCTGCAATAAAAACCGTCTGGATGTACATTATCCTTTATATAAAGAAATATTAAGGGCAGTGTTTGAGCAGAAATGCTTATTAATTGGTTCAGGATGTCTTGAAGCAAGCGACAAATGTGTTTACTTAAACATACAATAAGATGTTTTTGTGTTTATGAGTAAAGAGACACACCTACCGAAACAAATGATGAATTCCTTGCCATTGTAAGCACATACTGATCATTGTAAGGTTGTGTCCCGTCAGTGGCTCTGCCCTTTTTCTAAATGCTGTACTTTCATTGTAGGACTGTGTGTGGATGCTGGTGTAAAACATGAATGTTTTTATACTGGCACTTTTTCTTCTCATCGCCAATGGTAAGTTTTTATATTTACTTCAACACAGTGCTAACAGCCAAGCACTGAAAAAAGCTCTTATCAATCAGTATCATTGTCTTGTTGTAAAATATTTTCTAAAGCTGCACATGCTTGTTTTCTCACCACTAATAAATTGTTTTCAATTTATTATATAAACATTACAAAATCTATACTAAAATTATAGGATTTGAAATCACGTCTGGATATCTGATAGTAAATAAGTTTTTTTTTTAAGTTTATATAGTTTATTTTTGTTGATGCAAACATTGATGCAGTATATAAGCTTGGTAAATGGCAGAATGAGTGGTTGGATTAAATTTTTTTATTATAATAATTTATTGATTATTTTATTTAGTCAAAAAATAAAGAGTTTATATGTACCAAATAAATACAGCAGTAACAAAAAACATTAGCACTAACAAACATTAGATTTTTTTTTCAGATCGGGTGATTCATATATTTTTATTTTGTCAAAAAATAAATAAATAAATAAATTATAAATACAGAGTTAACAAACATTAACATTACCAAACATTAAAGTTTTTATTTACTCAGAGTGATTTATATGTTTTATTTGGTCAAAAAACACATAAAAATAAGAAATTATTTATACAGAATTAACAATCATTACAATTTTTATGCAGATCGGGTAATTTATGTTTTATTTTGTCAAATAAACCCTTTAAAAATAAAGAGATTATATATACAGAATAAACAAACCTTAACATTAAAAATTTTTTATTTATTTTTTATTTTATTTTTAACATAAACATTTTTATTCAGATCGAGTAATTTATATGTTTTATTTAAAAAAAAACATTAAAAAATAAAGAAATTATATGTACAAAACAATTACAGAATTAACAAACATTAACATTAATGAACATTAACATTTTTCTTCAGATCGGGTAATTTATATGTTTTATTTTGTAAAAAAAACATTTAAAAAATAAAGAAATTATATATACAGAATTAACAAACATTACCATTAACAAACATTACCATTTTCATCCACATCGGGTGAATTATATGTTTTATTTGTCAAGAAAAAACAAAGAAACAAAGAAACAAACAAAAAAAGGCATGAGAAATAAATTCTATATACATAATTAATGAACATTTAGAATTTTACAAGGTTTTATAATAATGACAATTTGCCGGCAAAAATGAACTGTATGTTTTTTCATAACTATTTTATAAGAACTTTCTTCACTCAAGATACATAAATAATATATATACATATAATATATAATATATATATATATATATATATATATATATATATATATATATATATATATATATATATATGTATATATATATATATATATATATATATATATATATATATATATATATATATACACACACACACACATAGATAAGGTCACAATTATTAGTCCCCCTTTGAATTTTTTTCCCCAAATGATGTTTAACAGAGCAAGGAAATTTTCACAGTATGTCTGATAATATTTTTTCTTCTGGTGAAAGTCTTATTTGTTTTATTTTGGCTGGAATAAAAGCAGTTTTTAATAAAAAAAAAAACATTTTAAGGTCAAAGTTATTAGCCCCTTTAAGCTATTTTTTAAAGCTATTTTTTTAGTCTACAGATGAAACCATCGTTATATAGTAACTTACCTAATTACCCTAACCTGCCTAGTTAACCTAATTAGCCTAGTTAAGCCTTTAAATGTCACTTTAAGCTGTATAGACGTGTCTTGAAAAAATATCTAGTCAAATATTATTTACTGTCATCATGGCAAAGATAAAATAAATCAGTTATTAGAAATGAATTATTATATATATATATATATATATATATATATATATATATATATATATATATATATATATATATATATATATATTTAAGATTTTTGACTAGATATTTCCACTGACAACAAGAAATAAACACCAGCTTGTGTACTCAAAAACTCATATTTACTTCTAAATAGCCCCTGTGATATCTTTGTATTCTCAGTTTTTTCTGTCTTGGCTCTTCCTTAATGCATTTCATAAAAGAAGAGTAATCTAAATCAAGATACACAATTACTCATTTCACTTCTACGATAAATATATATCAACCTAAGCTTTTTAACTAGATATTAGCACTGACAACAAGAAAAAACATTAGCTTGTGCAGACTCAACACAATCTCACGGCAATTCGTAACTTTTTCATTTATTGGCTAATTCGTATGAATTCGTACGATCTAATTCGTACAATTTAGTACGATTTGCTCATTATTTTCTAATTTACATTTTTAATTTCTATAGCTTCTGACAATCCAAAAAGAGCCACATATTGATCAATAATGTTATGAAAGCTGTTTAAACATTAAGTTATGACCGAATTTCCTCTTGTTAAACTTATGAAATAGTTTGATAACAAGCAGAAATGTTCAATGTTCAAATGTTCAGAAATGTTCAGAAATGTTCACCAACCAAGCTCATTCTGAAAGCTCATTCTGAAAACGTACCCCTATATACATTTCTGGAGAGCGCTAAATACGTCCCAGGAACCAGGTTTTTTGCAGTTTTTGCAAATCCACTAGAGGCCGCTGTGTACGTATTTTGAGATCTCAAATAGTCTCTCACGAGAGCCATTCCCGCCTGCTGTTCGCAAGTAAAGCCACCAGAGGCCGCTGTCAACTGACTGACTGACCCACCCTCCTCCTTCCCTAAGCCCAACCGATAGTGTTTTTAAAAGCAATTCAGAAAAAGTCAAGCCCTCGCCTGATTTTTCCCACGTGTTTAGATTTACCACATTCTCACTTGTTATTTACTTGTTTATTTTATTTTTTGGCTTTTGTTTGTGTCGTACTTGTTTTCTGGAACCGTTTTTCACCGGATTCGAGCCTCGTCATCGTGGTTAACTCCTTTCAGTATCTCAAGTCTGCGGACGAACATGGTGAGCCACTGGGCAAACTGGTAACAGCGCAAAAGCCGTCAGTACGGAGGTAAGCAGTCAGCTGGTAAGTGTGAAAAGGAACGGCATCATACCACCCCGTATCATTCGTTTTAAAGACAAAATGCAACCATACATACCTCTGGCTACATAATTCGCCATCTCCAGAAATGTATATACAGGTACGTTTTCAGAATGAGCCCATGTTGCAATAACCTTGTATTTTGCATTGTTTGTATTATTGGGCATTTATATTCTCAGTTTTTTTCTCTCTTGGCTCTTGCTTGATGCATTTCATTGTAAAAAATGAATTTAAAAATCCAATAACCCACCTAGCGAGCATGATTTACGATGAGAAGTAACAATAAAACATTCTTAACTGCATGTGAGTAAATCCATCTTCTTGCAGGAGAGTCAGCCGATCTCCAGCCTCAAAACGCTGCAGTTCTCCAAGGCTCCAGTGCTCAGTTTAACTGCAGCAGCACTCAACCTCCACAAATCATGACCTTTATGCTCAATGGACGCTTGGTTGTGACCATCATGCAAACTTCTGGGGTGTTGAACAGCACGGACCGCTTTTCTGCTAGTAATTTCACCACGCCTGGAAATTACAAATGGCAGTTTACCATCAGCAACGTGCAGAGAAGCGATGCGGGTGTAGTCGCCTGTCAGGTTTTGGGTGGAGATGCTGTGACGGCCACACTGTCTGTACAAGGTGAGCGGTGTTTATTCATTTCAACTCAGCCGTGCTAATGGGAAACACCTTCAAAGCGTGGTGGGAAATGGTTTGAGTGTGCAGATAAGACTAATATGAATGGAAGCATTAAAGACAGTGAAGATAACTCAAGTTTGGTCCAATCCTAATTCATTTTATTACCCCTACCCCTTCAAATTGACCCTTGAAACAAAGTGTGAAGGGGAAGGGTTTCAAAATTTACCCCTAAGAAATGGGACACCACTACAACACCAGCACACAGTCATCATGAGCTCTTAGTTCATATGAGATTGATGATAGCGACTGCTGTAGTTATTCCATTTGCGTTATTTTTTAGTAATTATCTTAAATTTTTGAAGGCAACGGTATTATGCTATCATAACGATATAATGTGGCAATGAGCTCATAAGTCTATGGCCATATCAGAGGTCGCGTTAGACTTTCCCATTGTCCGTCGTTTTGACGGAGAGGGTTGTAAAATTTCCGTCATAACTTTTTATTGATCGTTATTTAATTTGCAGACTTTCTGATCACCTTTTCCATTCATATTTTAATAATAAAACTTGCACGACGAGCATATAGGCTAATTTATTAATTTATTTATTTGAGAAATGAACAATACCTCAAATCTGCCTTAACTCATATCTTCCTCCTGCGTCGACCTGATCTGGGTGCTTGCCTGTGCGTAATCAAACGCATTAAGGGAGACTTAAGCCTGGTTTACACTTCTGCGTCAAGTGACCGGCGTGACCCACAGCGCATGCATCGCGCGTAGCTGTGCATTTATACTTCTGCGCACTGTCTCTGTTGGTCTGCATTAACACTTCCGAAACGCTAGTTGGCAGTGAGGTGTAAATGTTACTCTGTGTTGAGTTTCTTCTCTGCTGATTTGCTTTTCCTGAACACTTCCTGAATGTACAAGTGGCTCAAACTCGCTCATTTTAAGGCAGGAACCGGCGGACGTGCAACAACTTTAACTATGAGGTAAATACAAAACAAAACTTTCCATCAGGAGCTCCTTCACGGGACTCCACACTTGTAAACAATCGCTCCATTGGGCTCGTGTCCAGCTCGCGTCATTCGCGCGGCTCTCGGACCCGCCCAGACTCGTCAGCGCTACCAAGCCGACCAATCACAGAGCTTACGATACGCGTCGTTGCGACGTGTAGTTAAAATTTTTGAGAGGTGCACGTCAGCGACGCCGACGGCCACGGCGAAGGGCTATGCGTCAGCGCCGTAGCATACGCCGGCGTTAAATGCAGAAGTATAAATCAGCCTTTAGGGGGCATGCCTCTGAGTCCGGTAGTGCTCACAACGCACTCCAACGTACACCAGATAGCAAAATACACTCGGGCCAGTTTTGGCTAGATTCTCACCTGCCGGAGACTCCAGCTGCCTCACTCTGGCCAGATGCCTGTGGACTCATTGCTTGATGCGGCGGCCGTAATAAGCGAGCCGAGGCTGCCGCATCCGAGCCAGAATCGGCCCTTGAGTAATGTGCGCTGCGGCCCGGAGCTGGCGCGACTCAGTCTTCATATACCTTCATATAAAACCTTTTGGTATTACATTGGTACTTGATACATGATATTACAACCATTTGAGTTGATATAATAGCAAACGCAGGCTATAATGTAAACACAAATTGTAGGCACTGCGTTTAACCTTTGAATAAAATGAAAACAGCATACATATTCTAAAACAAAAATAATATATCAAATAATATATAATAAATAATAAATTTAATTAATAGATAATAAATAATCAAACAAAGGACAAAATAAATAATAATAAACGTTTATTGATTGCAAAAAACAAATAATACTAAAAATGAATAAATTATTTTGTAGTTCACCAGAACATCAGTATAAAAACAATAAACCTGACCTCATTGCTAGCTGCCGCTTGGTTTTATCGTTCTTCATCGTCCACTGCATCACTTCCTCTTTTTTTCACCTTTATCATTAATATCACAACTATTTGGCCGTTTAAAGAAACTTCTCACACTCAGCTGCTGTGACATTTTTGCAAAGAGGAGACAAAACAAGGGCAATCGCCATCAGCTGGACAGGAGTGGAAATCATAGTTAGCTACAAATTACAATAGATCACCCTTGGCATAATCCGTCAAAATGATGGATCATCTTCAGATTTTTCGTCACTGATGAAAAAAATCCGTCAATGACAGAAAATATTCGGTAAACGCGACCTCTGGCCATATTCATCTATGTAAACACACGAAAACAATGTTATACCAGACACTGTAAGGCCGTACTCACACTAGGTACAGTTGCCTCGAACCGGGCCAAAGCACGCTTGTCCCCCCTCCCGTCTCCCCCGACGGCCCGCGCTCACACCACAAACGGGCTTCGGCACGCTTACATCATCGCTGCTGGGCTGTTCAGTGAGAAGTGCTCTCTCACTCAGCCGCACAGAGGAGATTTCTCTAGTTATATCGTTTCAGTCGTTTGATATGCCGTCAAATATTTCGCCAAACAGTCCTTAGGGATGCGGGGACACGCAGGCAGATATTTCGCCGAACAGATCCGCCACTTTTGGCGCTCATAAACAATCATAAAGCTCTCGTGCTGCAGGAATGAGGAGGTCTGCTGAAGGCGCGCAGCTGTCGTGAAGTGAGGAGTTTGCGTCTTTAATAAACAACGGCAGTTTGAGTTCACTGAACAGTAAGAATGATTAATAAATCCATATGAAACAGCCCCTTAAAAGTCACGTCTCGCTTTCAGTTTCGGGCTTTGTCGCGTTTTGCACTCACACACAAGCGTACCGCGCCAAAGCCCAAGTGAACCGCGCTCAGGCACACCTCTCAGGCACACCTCCGTGCTTGAGCCCGATTCAGCGCACTCACACTTCTCAAAGGATCCGGGAAACAGGCCTGGGCACGGTACGGATGGCATAGTGTGAGTAGGCCCTAAAAAGCTCATTCCCAGCCACTAGACTTTTCTGACAGGGGATTCAAGTGCCATCGAGTGTCAGATGTGAAAGCATGCTGTGGGACTACTATGCTGGAGTTATCATTATGTATTATACAGTGGGGAAAATAAGTATTGAAGATGTCATTATTTTCCCTGGGAATATTATTTCTAAATGAGCTGTTGATAAAGAATTGAACCAGATTTTGGTAAAAATACAAACAATACAAACATAAAGATAAAACTAAACAAGTCTAAAAATGAGTTGTGTAATAACAATGGAAGTACTGAACTACTGAAACGTATTTAATACTTTATATAAAAGAGCAGCTTAAATACGCCACTCATATGGAGAATGAAGTCATTTGCATTGCTCAGGTGTGAGTTTTTTACAGACTTCAACAGAGTGATTAAATCTTGTTGATTCTGTGGGTCTCGTCTATTAAATCTGGGCTTTAATTCGTATTTTCTATTGGATTCAAGTCAGGGGTCTGTTCTTCGTATGTGGATTACTCAGTTAGCTGGATTTGGATGTTGACGATTTAACACGATCCAGGATTGTTTCGTTCTTCAAAGCTGATCCGAGAGTTGTTGTCATAGCAACAGTTCTGCTAGCTCAAACCTGGTCAGGAGCAGGTTCAATTCATATAAACAAGATTAGATCGGGTCAGTTAAAGTTAAATATTTATGTATATATATCAATGAAACTTCATTAATGAAACTGCAATCTGCACCCCCGAAATGAAAGTACAAAGACTGCCACCTGGTGGTGCAAAAAGAAAACATATTGATATTAACTTTTTAGGACCACTTTAGTACAATTTGTGTATGATAATAGAAATGCACAATATGTGATACATTTATGCAGTCATAAACATGTTTTGACAGTTAATATGATGGTGATTTGATGCTTCACAAAAGTTGCAGACGCCTTTACCAATATGACACATGAAAGGGCCAAGCATGCAGCCCACAACAAGGTGGAAAGTTACTGTGTACCATATTTAACAAACCGTTTACTGCAAATTTTACGTAATTGTGCTCACATGGATAATTGAATATTAAGCAGATGATGTCATTACGCTGCTGTGTCGTCAGCCAATCGTTGCATTGCTGATCATGATTTCGAGGATCGATAGATCTGTCCTTCACAACACATGCAGCGATCTCAGATCAGTTTATCCAGACATTTTAATCTGATTCACAAAGTTGTTTGAAGAACCAAATTAGCCAGAGATCAGTTATCAAGATGAACAGATCCAGGATCTGTCAAATCATTTTGGATCATTTAAGCGAGGTACGAAGAACAGACCCCAGTTGATTGGCTGGGCCATTATACAGCCCCAAATAAAAGCATTTCAAAGTTCCTTGGCTGTGTTTTGGATCATTGTCTTGCTGAAATGTCTACCCTGGTTTCATCTTCATCCTCCTGCGAATATTTATGCATTCATAAGAAGCTGATATTCATTTACAGTGAGGAAGGGCAGAGGGTTGCTGAAGAACTACTGAGAGATTTCAGCTGCTTTCTGGGCTTTCACTGCCTTTCTAAACCTCCCTTTTTTCATGTGTTCAATACTTTCTCCCTTCGTCATTTCATTTTACTATGCATAACTTCATTTGTAAACTAATCTATCTTTGCATTTATGGATTTCTTTGGTTGCTACCAACGTCTGGCGAAAATTTCAAGTCAATAGCACCTTCAGAAATATGTTTTCTAAGAAAAATGGTGGCGTGTTCAATACTTATTTTCCCTGTTGTAGACAGCAAAATTTAGCTGAGTTTTTTTAATCATTTAAAAAAAAGCAAGACCGTAAAACATGTACTGTTATGCATGTATTAAAACTTATGCTTGTTTGTTGTAAAAAAACACACACAAAAAAACCTCCTGACTCGCATGTGCAGCCATTGCTGTTGTAGCTGGTGTATTCTGGGAAATTTTTGTTGGTTTCTAGCGTGGTCTTGGAAAATCTCAGTTTCAAGGGCTGTGTAGCCTTTCCCCTTAGCTCTACTTGTTTAAGCTAAAGAAAATTGAGACACCCCGACCCCTTCACATTATTGCACTAAACTAAGGGGCTAATAGGTTAAGAGGTAGAATTGGCTCAGTGGTTAGCACTGTCGCCTCACAGCAAGAAGATCGTTGGTTCGAGTCCTGGCTTGTCACGATCACCATATGTCATGTTTAGGAACTACAAATCCGATTAGACCATGTCCCACACACACACACACACACACACACACACACACCGTGGCCGTAGTGTATGAGTGTGAATGAGTGTATATGGGTGTTTTCCAGTACTGGGTTGCAGCTGGAAGGGCATCGGCTGTGTAAAACATATGTTGGAATAGTTGGCGGTTCATTCCATTGTGGCAACCTCTAATTAAAAAGGGACAAAGCTGAAGGAAAATAAACAAATGGATAAAAAAACAAGTTTCCACCAAACTAAAGTAAGAAAATCAAACATTTATTTGACTTTTGTATCTATTTGAACTCTATGATCCCTTACTATCCAGGGGCCTCATGTACGAAGACTTGCGTGGAAATCTTACTAAAACATTGCGTACGCACAAAGCTGTAAATGTGCGTACGCAGAAAAAATTTCAGATGTATGAAACACTGCGTACGCGGAATCTCACGCATATTCTTTTGTACATCTGAATGAACGTGAAACTGAGCGCAACATGCACGAGCACAAAACCCCTCCCTGCCTCCTCCCCCGTATGAATATGCTAATGACTATGCTAATTGCAAAACCCAACGAAAAAGCAATGGAAAAAGCAAGCAAAAAGAGAAACTTTGAACAGAATGTGAATTGGAGGTGCTGCTTTCGGAGGTAGACCGGAGAAAAGCGGTGTTATTTGCAAGTTTGTTCTTCGGAATTAACAACAAAAGAAAAAAATAGAGTGGGAGAGTTTAGCTGATGCGGTCAACACAGTTGGGTCTGAACATATCGCAGTGAGTGCATTAAAAAAAACAAATAGTGTGGTTTATACCTGTAAAATGTTACAGGACGCCTAGCAGTCTCAGTGGCGCGCTCGTAAGACGCTTGTGATCGTGAATTGATACGTTCGAGCATGAACGCAGCTCGAATCCAGTGTCTAAAAAACTCTTTCTTGTTTTTTCCCGCGCTACATATCAGATTTTGCCAACTATTTATCACGAGAAAGACAAGTAGGCATCATCAATAAGTTCATATCAATAAGCATCATATTTTATTTGCACATTTATTGAATGGAAATGTTTCTGATTCACGCATGCAAATTCATCTTCAGATAGTGTCTTTATAGCAATGTGCGTGCAGTAGATAGCTCAGATTACATTGGAAAAACAGGCGACTGCTGCAAATTGTGCTTTAATGTTTAGCTGGTCAAATGTATGGTATGGAAACCTTATATACCTGCTGAACCCGTCTCATACAGCTGCCATTGCAAGGCTCAGACACTTTGTAGAGAGGAATTTAACACAACTGCCTCTAGGAGTTGCCAATGGAAATAAAACAGACACGCACAAAAAATGTGCGTACGCCTGCCAGAAAGCTGCCGTGAACCTGCGCACATTCCCACGTTCAGTTCATTGTTAGTAAATCCAAACGTGAGCGATTCTGAGCGTGAAACCTGGCGTACGCAAAGTTTTTGTGCGTACGCAGCGTTGATACATGAGGCCCCAGATCATTACACAAAGATTCATATGGACAAATAAAAAGCTTTACAAGCGGTGTTATTTCCACTGTGTTTATTCCCGGTTTGCATTTTGTACAGGTTGTCTTTGAGTTTGCATCTCATAAAAAAGTCAGAAGTCTGCAGCCTTAAGGGTTTTTGTTGTGGTTTGAATGTTAAATTACACACGTCCTCAGCACCTATTTAAAAGAACAAAAAAAAAAACCCTTAAAGCTTCATCATTGAGTCCATGTGAGTTCTAGTGCTTACATCCATATGCTGATCTTTTTACAACCTTCAAGCATTACTCAGCAATTTTATGCATGACAGAGCGTATAATTCGGCCAGAACATTCCCAGAGACTGTCTCCTTAAATACACCCTCGCTAACTAAAGCCCCCATCAGCGCTAAATTAACCCTTGTAGATCAAAACGCAACTATCAAGTAAACAACTGCAGTAATTGTTTCTCAAAGACAACAGTGAGATTAGAGGAGAGCGAATGGAAGCGGCAGTAATTTGTCATGTTTCCGTTTTATTTCTGTGATACACAAAGTCAGAGATATTAATATAAACCAAACCTTCTCTCAGCTAATAAAAAAAGATAGCTGCATTGAAAACAGGGAAATAGTGTTGTTAATTACTGAATTAATTAATTACAAAGAAAATATGCGAGTAACACTTTGAGGTTGAAAAAACAGAATAAAGTACAGTATTTTTTTGTAAAGCATTCCACATGAAAAAATGCTATAGTAATTTATAGTGGGGGCGGTACGGTGGCATTGCAACTGTTGCCTCATAGCAGGAAGGTTATAGAATGCTGATAATAGAAAATTATATATATATTTATATATATATATATATATATATATATATATATATATATATATATAGATAGATAGATAGATAGATAGATAGATAGATAGATAGATAGATAGATAGATAGATAGATAGATAGATAGATAGATGAGCAGTATCACACGAGTAGCAGTGAGTGTGAGTTTGCAACCCGCAGGCGTTTACAGACTATATCAAAGAGGGGGGTGGGTGAAATTAAGGGATTTTTTTTAGGAAGAAATCAAAACGGGATGGTTGCGGGAGACTGGTCTGAAATCTGGGATCCTCCCATGAAAAACGAAAGTGTTGGCAGGTATGCTTACTACTTTTACCAGTTAACAGTAATAATATTTGACTAGATATTTTTCAAGACACTTCTACAGCTCAAAGTGACATTTAAAGGATTAACTAGGTTAGGTTAACTAGGCAGGTTAGGGTAATTAGGCAAGTTATTGTAAAACGATGGTTTGTTCTGTAGGCTATCGAAAAAATATATAGCTTAAAGGGGCTAATAATTTTGTCCCTAAAAAGGGTTTTAAAAACGGCTTTTATTCTAGCTGAAATAAAACAATTAAGACTTTCTCTGGAAGACAAAGTATTATCAGTCATACTGTGAAAATGTCCTTGCTCTGTTAAACATCATTTGGGAAATATTTAAAAAAGAAGAAAGAAATCCAAAGAGGGCTAATAATTCTGACCTCAACTGTAGATTAGTTTTTTCATATCAAACTCAAATGGTTTGTAGTAATTGGTTTCCTCAAATGGTTTGAGTTGCCTTAACTTATTGGGCTTTACAGTAGTCAGTTGGCTTGAGTTTTCTTCATTTATCAGGTTTTACTGTGCTCAAATTGCTTCGTTTACTCAAATGCATTAGGTTCACTGTACTCATTAGGATTCGTTTTTGAACTTAAATGGTTTGTTGCATTCGATTTCGTCAAATGGTTTGAGTTATCTTAACTTTTTGGGTTTTACAGTGTTCATAAATAAAGGTTTAAATAAGCATTTTATACAAACATTTCAGAGAAAGTTGGACCTTCAAAAATTGATTGGAGACAGAAGTGGGCCCCGAGGTGGAAAAAGGTTGAGAACCTCTGCTTTAAAGTGCTCTATTGTCTGGGTTGGTGTTGTATATTAAGCTACAAAAATATTGTAATAAACTGCCAGTGCATTTTCTGTAATTTTACAGACTCATTTCTCTCTGTATGATTTCTTATACATTATATTATTTCAAACGACTAAACGTCAATAACAGTCACTTTGTTAAACTGTAGAGCTGAATTTTCAACATCAAAAGTCGACAGAGCAGAAATCATTCATTTTCTTTTCGGCTTAGTTCCTTTTTTTATTTGGGGGCGCCACACTTATCCAGCATATGTTTTATGCAGCGGATGCCCTTCCAGCTGCAACCCATCCCTGGAAAATATTCACATACACACACACACACACTATTTAGATTACCCGGTTCACCTGTACCACATGTCTTTGGACTGTTGGGGAAACCGGAGCACCCGGAGCAACCCCACGCCTACACGGGGTGAACATGCAAACTCCACACAGAAATGCCAACTGACCCAGCTGAGGCTCGAACCAGCGACCTTCTTGCTATGAGGTGAAAATGCTACCCACTGCGCCACCGTGCTGCCCCCAGAGCAGAAATCAACCTCCCAATTCACAATTGTAAATAAATGAAAAAACACTTGTGAATCACAAAAATACGGAAACAGATTATTTATTTATTTATTTTTTACAGTGTTTTACACTTTTAATGAGTAGTTGTATTTTTGCTAAAGCGTATTTTTTAATCTAATGCAAGGGAGGTTGTGAGTCTGTCAAGCATGTGTGTGTGTGTGTGTGTGTGAAAATAATTCTTTCATTCTTAGATGCATTTTAAGTAATTGGATTTCTTTTAATGGTGGATGACAGAGGTAAAAAGTGCAGCACGAAGCAAAACAAAAGTGAGACATTATCAAGCCCACCTTCTCTCACCTGCTCGGCCGTCCCACGGGAAATTACCCGATTACATCTCAAAGTGCAGATAATCAATAATAATCTACTTCTTAATTAAAGTGGACCGTGTTTCAAGAAGCGCCATTAAAGCAAACCGCCAGATCCATAGTGATTAGGTCCGAGTGTGTGTTTGAAGAGGTAATTGTGTGCTGTGTACTCTTCCAGATCGGGGCACTGTGCAGATCGCAGGGGGAAATCAGACCAAAATGCTGGGTGTTCAGACGCAGTTTAGCTGTTTGGCCGCGGGCTGGTACCCCGAGCCCAACATGTCCTGGTCTGTGAACGGAGAGACTCAATTCTGCAACAAAAGTTCCGTCACACAGGGAGGACTGTATAACTCCAGCTGCACGCTCACACTCACGGCCAGCAAAAACTCAACTGTACAGTGTCTGGCTGCTATACCTGCCCTGAACACACCAGACAGCAACACTGTATTCCTGACTGTTGGTAAGAACAATTAACTTTTCTTTCATTTTAATGAGCAAGGCCATCTGAAAGTTGTTTTAATATATCATTTTAATAATTGTATATAATAATTGTTATAATAATAATTTGATTTAATAATCAAATGTTGACTACACTACCTGATGAAACTCGTCATCGATCCCAGTTGTAAGAGCAACAAATAATAACTTGACTTCTAGTTGATCATTTGGAAAAGTGGCAGAAGATCGAATTTTTAGATGAATCATCTGTTGAGCTGCATCCCAAGCATCTCAAATACTGCAGAAAACCTATTGGAACCCACATGGAGCCAAGATTCTCACAGAAATCATTCAAGTTTGGTGAAGGAAAAATCATGGTTTGGGGTTACATTCAGTATGGAGATCTGCAGAGTGGATGGCAACATCAACAGCCTGAGGTATCAAGACATTTGTGCTGCCTGTTACATTACAAACCACAGAAGAGGAAAATTCTTCAGCAGGATAGCGCTCCTTCTCATACTTCAGCCTCCACTTCAAAGTTCCTGAAAGCAAAGAAGGTCATGGTGCTCCAAGATTGGCCAGCCCAGTCACCAGACATGAACATTAATGAGCATGTCTGGGGTAAGAGGAAGGAGGAGGCATTGAAGATGAATCCAAAGAATCTTGATGAACTCTGGGAGTCCTGCATGAACGATTTCTTTGCCATTCCAGATGACTTTATTAATAAGTGATTTGAGTCATTGCAGAGATGTATGGATGCAGTCCTCCAAGCTCATGGGAGTCAGACACAATGTTCATTTTTCTTCCACTGCACCATGACTTTATATTCTATACTGGACATTATTTCAGTTAGGTGACAAGACTATTGTCTTAGCAAAGTCAGAACTTACTGTCCTATTTATAGAATTCAAAATCAAGACATGATCATATTTTAAGATGTGCCTTTCATATAAGCCACTTCTGATACCAAATAATCAACTAGAAGTCAAGTTATTATTTGTTGTTTCTAAAACTTGGGAAGGCGAGCAGACTTTTGTCCGGTAGTGTATACACAGCTGAGGGCAAAATCATTAGCCCTCCTCTGAAATATTTATTATTTTTTAAGTATTTCCCAAGTGATATTTAATGGAGCAACACCATTTTCGCAATGTTTCTGATATCATTTTTTCTTCTGGAGAAAGTCTGATTTGTTTTATTTCAGCTAGATTAAAAGCAATTTCATAAAACCATTTTAAGGTTAATATTTTTAGCCCTCTTTAGCAATATTTGTTTTTGATTGTCTACTGAACAAACCATCATTACACATTATTACCTGCCTTATTACCCTAACCTGCCTAGTTAACATAATTAACCTAGTTAAGCCTTTAAATGTCACTTTAAGCCGTATTCTACTAGTATCTTGAAAAATGTGTGGTCAAACATTATATGCTGTAATCATGGCAAAGATAAATCAATTATTAAAACTATTATGTGTAGAAATGTGTTGAAAAACAATCTCTCCATTTAACAGCATTTGGGAAATATTTGAAAATGAATACAAATTTCTCAGGAGGGCTAATGATTTAGTCTTCAATTGTATTGAAATAGGAAGCTGTCGAACTAAACTTGCACACATACATTTTCATTTTTTTTGTCATTATTAGTGCTCAGCATATATAAGTATTTACCTCACAAATCTCTCTTTTAAATTCATATTTTTAATAGGAAGCTATACAATATTATATTTGTGCATATACATTAGATTAGTCAGTACTGAAGCCAAATCTGAAACTTATCTAACAAAACAACTTACGGTAACGCTGCAAAAACTAGTACGCCCAAGTGTAGATGTTATAGAATATTTTAAATACAAATAAAAAAAAAGAGGAAAAATCAAGAGAAGCAAAATAATTGAAAAATCTAGTTGAAATTTTGTAGGTTGTAAGTATTTTATTTATTTATTTATATATATTTTTGCAATATTTGGCTTGAATTTAATTGAATTATCTTTCAAGTTCTAAATATGTTTGGTGACTAAAATATTATTTTAATAGATATATCTGATTAATAAATCTGTTTTGTTTAAATGCACCAAAATATATCGCCTATATTCACTGAGAAATGAATAAAAAAAAAAATTCAAAATGGGCTGTACTCAATTATGCTGAGCACTGTACATCTTTTGGTTGTTTTCTTTCCACTGGTCTGAAACAACAATCCAAGTAGCCCAAAATCTCAAAACTGACCAGTGAATCATGCTATAAAGCGATTACTTCAGCAACCGCTAGAGGGCAGCGCAAACACCAGTACCGCCACGTGAAGTGTATTATTTTAATCAGAGATGTTTGCATTTTCTCTGTTTAGCACATAATGAAGCGATTCTCTTCTATCTTTCTGTTCAAGTAAAAAAAGACCAGACAGTGTTGATCGCTATCACCGTTGCCTTCAGTGCTGCTGCTCTACTGTTTCTCATCATCTATGGCATCATTTTCTTCTGCAGGAGAAAGAAGAAAAGTGAGTACCTGTGGGGATGAAGCACAATTCTGCTTTAGTGCATGTTAAATAACAATAAACACTGTAAAAAAGGAAAAAAATTTCAGTGCTAATATCTAAATATTAAATAAATAATGTTACTTACTTACTGTAAACATTATTGATTAGCGATTTGATCTGCAGCATAATAGATTTACAACATACATATCATACCACACACTTAAGACGAACATTAAACAACGTTAATAGTACTAAAACCAGTGGTATAGTACCAACCTATTCCCATTAAAACTCAGCAAATCAATCACACAAGGAACAAATGAACATTGAAATCTGTTGGTCCTTCACTGTAAAACCCAAAAAGTGAAAATAACACCAACCTTTTGAGGAAACTGATTGCAACAAACCATTTAAGTTCAAAAACTAATCCTTATGAGTACTGTGAACTTAATCCATTTGAGTAAACGAAGCAATTTGAGCACAGTAAAACCCAATAAATGAAGAGAACTCAAACCAACTGAGTACTGTAAAACCCAATAAGTTAAGGCAACTCAAAACGTTTGAGGAAACTGATTACTACAAACCATTTGAGTTAAAAAAACTAATCTGTATGAGTACTGTGAACTTACTCCGTTTAAGGTGACTTAATAAGGAATTTAATTAAGTCATTACCTTCGACACTGAGTTCAAAACTCTTTTCAAATGAGTAGCATTAACTTTCAGTCAATTTTGAGGTAACTACACTCATTTCATTTGATAAAGTTGACTGTCGGGTTTACAGTGTTTCCAAAGGGACCCTACACTGAGATAGCACCTGGGTTTCACACAAATTGGATAACCCAGACGAAATATTTGTAATTTAAATAGCACCTAGTCTACCCTAGATTATATTAAAAATTTAAAAATTTATTTATTTTTATTATTTTAAATTATTTTATAAAAATTATTATAATAATTCACTTTATTTATTGTTAAGTAAAATGACTCAATTTAGTTCGAGTTTTTTTTAAATAGAAAAACAATAAAAAACAAAACACGAACCATATATTGTTCATCATTTTAATCTATCCAATCATTCCTTTCTTCTTTCTCCAGAATCGAGCTACCAAGAGGAGGTCAGAAGGTGAGAAATGAGCTCCTGTGTTTTCTTTTTAAGACTGGCTGAAAATGCTAATTTCTTATCATTATAATTAACAGATAATTTCTGTTAAACTCTTTATGATTGTGAGTGGTTTGCTAAAAGGTCTGGGCGCTTGTTTCAGGGCGCGGGTTCAGTCCCAGGCCAGGATTTCAGCCATAGAAGAAGTGCGAGGAAGGGACAACCGAGGATATATAACAGATGGACGTGACCGTGCGTATGCATATGCAAACATAAAAGGTGGTGGGGAATTTAACATATCATAAACTAAAAGCAACTCATATAATACAGGTCATGTTTTTTCCTGGGAATAATATTTCTGATGGAGCTGTTGACATGGAGTTGAACCAGATTTTGGTAAAAACAATAAACCAAAACAATACAAAGGTAAAAATAAAACTAAGCAAAACAATCTGTGTAAAAATCTTGATGCTTCTGTGGGTCTCGCCTATTTAATCTGATCTTTAATTTATATTTTCTATTGGATGCAAGTCAGGTTATTGGCCTGGCCATTCTACAGCTTGTTTTTCTTTCTCTGAAAGCATTTGAGAGTTTCCTCGACTGTGTTTTGCATCATTGTCTTGCTGAAATGTCCACCCTGGTTTCATCTTCATCCTCCTGTTAATGTAGATGTTTTACTGAAGCAGCTGATGTTTATTTACATTGAGGAAAGGCAGAGGGTTGCTGAAGAACTACTGAGAGATTTCAGCCGCTGTCTGGGCTGTCACTGCCATTCCACACCTCCCTTTCCTCATGTGTTCAATACTTCTTCCTGGTGTCATTTTACTTTATTACACAAAACTTTATTTGTAAACTAATTAGGTTTGATTTCTTTGGATTTCTTTGGTTGTTACCAACATTCGGGGAAGATTTCAAGTCAACAGCACCTTTTATAGGTTTTCTGTGTGTTTAATACTTATTTTCATCGCTGTAAATTCAGTTGAGGACAAACTTTTCTGTGAAATGTTTATTCTTTTTAAAATATTTCCTAAGTGATGTCAGTGTTTATATATATTTGAATTACATGGTATTATCACACACACATACTGTATTTTACAGCACCGCATTTATGTGGTAATTTAAGTAAAAAACATCATCGACATTTTCACAGTATTTCCTATAATATTTTTTCTGTAGAATTTTCTTTTAGTTTCGCTGGAATAAAATCAGTTAAATTTTTTTTAAAACAATTTTTAAGGTCATATTATTAGCCCCCTTCAGAAATTGGTTTTATTTTTAAAATTGTCTACTGAACAAACTTGCCTAATTAAACTAGTTAAGCCTATACATGTCATTTTAAGTTGAATACTAGTATCTTGAAAAGTATCTAGTAAAATATGTCATCATGGCAAAGAAAATAAATTTCTTTTTAGAAATTAGCAACACAATCTCACGGCAATTCATATCTTTTTGATTTAGTGGCTAATTCGTATAAATTCGTACGATCTAATTCATTCAATTTAGTACGATTTGCTCATCACCCAATGACAGTTGGGGTTAGGGGTGGGGTTGAGTGCCAAGCCTCCTTTTTAAAATCGTACATTTTCATACGACTGAACTCACTAAACAGCCACTAAACTGACAAAACGTAAAATACTTAAGTTTCCTCATGAGATCAGGCTGTAATTAGTGATTAAAAGTTTTATATTTAGAATTAAAATTTAACAGGGCTAATCTTTTTGACTTTAACTGTATACATGAATGAATATTGGACAACAATTTATTGATTGCATTGAAAAAAATGTAACAATGTGAACAAAAAAGCTTACAAAGCAATGTGACTTATGTGATTATGTTATGTTTTGCTTTTGTTTATTGCAGGACAAAATAATGGCGGCGTCTGGTACACAAAGAATTCCAACAGACTTCAGGTGATGCTTCAGATAGAGCTTGAAGTCAACATGAAAGCAAAACATTACCTATTTACTTCCTTAATATAGCACAATATCTGGTTCTGGTAGTAAAAACAGCATTTATTTTCTTTAAAGGAAAATACATTTTTTCACGACAAGCATATGCTTTGTTTTGAATGCATCAGTTCACATCAATTAAGCTACTTTTTAAGCAATCAACAGGATTTATTTAATTATTTACAATTTTAATGTCTGTTCTGTTTTTTTTATTCCATTTTCATTGACTTCAATAACAAACATAATTCAAAACTACTCAAAAAGACAGTGATAGTAACAATTATAATAACAAAACAGATATTTATATTAAAATATTAAATTATATTTTAAATGCACAGATATTCACAAAATTCATAATACATAACATACATAATAACACAAATACAGCAGGAGGAAAGAAGGAATTGTGTATCCGTTACATTTCCAAAATAGGCGCAGTAACGCAGTAGGTAGTGCTGTCGTCTCACAGCAAGAAGGTCGGTGGTTCGAGCCTTGGCTGGGTCAGTTGGCGTTACTGTGTGGAGTTTGCATGTTCTCCCAGCGTTCGCATGAGTTTCCTCCGGGTGTTTCGGTTTCCCACACAGTCCAACGACATGTGGTACAGGTGAATTGGGTAGTCTAAATTGTCCATAGTGTGAATGAGTGTGTATGGATGTTTCCCAGAGATGGGTTGCAGCTGAAAGGGCATCCGCTGCGTAAAACATGTGCTGGATAAGTTGCCGGTTCATTCCACTGTGGCGACCCCGGATTATCAAAGGGACTAAGCCGAAAAGAAAGTAAATGAATATATTTCCAAAATAATTATTGTAATATTCCAAGAATCGATCCCTTTTCTTGTTTTTATCCAATCTGAGATTTAATAAATACATCAGTTTCAATTGAGGATAATTTTTGTTTGTGAATAAAATGTTTTCCATACAAAATAAAGAAGTTATTAATGTAGTTATCTGGTATATCGGTTTTACCTTTCTGCTAACAAATAATATATCAACAGAATTTATGCAGGAAAACTACATTATCCATAATGCTGTAAGAAAATCCACCAATCAGAGAGTCACAAGTAGTCCTTAGCTCCACCCACTTACATGAAGCTTCATTTTTAAACGATTGTCTTGCATATTTGCACAGCAAAATTGAAATATCTTTATTATATTATATTTGTGTGATTCACAATGCTTCATAGGATTGTAGTTCTTTCCTTAACTAAAGACGTTAAATTTACAGACACTTTTAGCATAGCTTAGCATAGATCATTGAATCGGATTAGACCATTAGCATCTCATTTAAAACAGATTTTTGGTCATTTTCCTATTTAAACCTTGACTGTTTTGTGGTTATATTCTACTAAGGAAAATGAAGCTACTATTTTCTAGGCTGATATGGCTACTCTCATTCTAGTGTAATAATATCCTTGCGTCTGCTGCAGCTAAAATACAGCAGAAAAGTTTTTTGAATATTACGCATAAATGACAGATAGTTCCTTGCCAAATCAGCCTAGAAAATTGCCACTTTTCTTTTTCTGTCAGTCTGAGAACATTACAGAAGAGTCAAGCTTGAATAGGAAAAAAATCAAAACTCTTTTATGAGTGAGATGCTAATGGTCTAATCTGAATTAATGATCTATGCTAAGCTAAGCTAAAAGTGCTCTGTCAGACCCGTAGATCGGCTGAATGGATTAAAAAATGGTAAAAATCGACAGGTTAACTCTGGATGACTTGCAAAATGAGCCTAAAAAGTGTAGTGTACTTTAAACATCTAGTTTTAGTCATAATAATGTTATTTTGCAGAAGTAAATACAGTAGCAAGTAGCATTCATGCTAACCTCAACATTCCCACACATTTATAAGCATGTTTTCTGTTCCTCAGAGCTCCATATGTGATTAATACCTTTGTGTTTTCAGCTGCCCGATGACTTTTTTGGAGATGACCAGAGGAAGCACAGACACATGACCATGGTCTGAGACTAAGACTGACCTGAACATGTTGGATTTTATGGACAGCAGGTGTTCTGGCTCCTTTCTTTTTTTCTTTTTTCCGTTTTATTTCCGATTATAGACAAAAAGGAGCCTGAAGGACGGTTTATCAGCACACAAGCTCCGGGATTTTCTCTGTGGTCTCAGACTTTTGGACCGCACTGAATACGGTTTATTTATTTGCATTTTTGACGTTATGAACTCTCACTTTTCTGAGGGTTCATTAGATAGACATGGGAGGTTTTGTAGCCAAATGAACAAAGCATGAAAAGTAATTTTTTATACATCTACGTGTGTAAAACAAGACGTTTCCACAGCAGGTTTGTTTTGAATCAACAGCATCCTGTTTCCTCCAGAATTACAAAATCATCAGCATATGGCACAACACACCCGTGAGAGTTCTGCTTCCTGTGTTTTTTTTAATAGCCGCTTTCAATTAAAACCAAAGACTTTTCACGAGAAGCCTTCGGAGAGGATTATATTATCACGTCCTGTTTCACTGAGCAATGCATTTAAACTATGAATGCATTTAATCTCCAATATTACATTAATCATGCAGTGAAGTGTCATGGATTAGAACTAAATGAATCAATCACTTATTCAGTGATATCAAATTCAGATTAAAAGTGCAGTTTTAGTTCTTCACATTTTCTCATTTGTGTGGGACTAAAATTGATAAATAAAGAAGATTGAACAAATTATTATTATTATTTTTAAAAAACCTCAATAGTGTTAATGTACTGCTAAATTATTTTAAACAATGCATTTGTAAAAATACATTTTCCAACCTTATTTTTGTCTTGTTTTAAGGATTAACTGCTTAAAATTGTGCTTTATTTGTGACCATGGCCATGAATTTAGTCATATGTGGCAATTTTTTAACCCAGGCTCATTCTGAAAATGCAATGAAAAACTCTTATCAAACCTCTTCAGCTGCTTCAGAACGCAGCAGCACGAGTGGTCTTTAAGGAACCTAAAAGAGCACATGTCACTCCGCTGCTCATCCGTTTGCACTGGCTGCCAGTTGCTGCTCGCATCAAATTCATATCGCTGATGTTTGCTTACAAAGCGACTTCTGGCTTTGCTCCTTTTTATTTGCTCTCGCTCGTGCAGATTTATGTGCCCTCCAGAAACTTGCGTTCTGTGAATGAACCTCGCCTTATGGTTCCATCCCTAAGAGGGAAAAAAACACTTTCCCGAAATCTTGCATTCAATCTTCGCAGTTGGTGGAATGAACTCCCTAACTGCATCAGAATGGCAGAGTCACTCGCTGTCTTCAAGAAATGACTAAAAACTCAACTATAGTCTCCACTTTCCTTCCTAATCTGCAATTGCCTCTCTGGCTATACCACCAACTTTACTCAAAAAAACAACAAAACCTTACATTAATAATGCTTTGCTTCTTAGACTTTACAGACCTGAAACTTGCCTACAGCACTTATTCATTGTTGCTCTTATAGTTGTGTAAATTGCTTCCTTGTCCTCATTTGTAAGTCGCTTTGGATAAAAGCATCTGCTAAATGACTAAATGTAAATGTAAAAAAAAAAGAGTCCTCGTCTAATTTTTACCACATTTTCAGATTTTTAAAAATGATTATTTTTAGGGGTTTTCACCTTTATTGGGATAGTGGAGATTTTACAGAAAGGAAAGTGTGGGGAGCAGAGATAGGGGAAGGATCCTCAAGCTGGGAATCAAACTCGGGTAGTCATAAGCACCTTGGTGCTATTTTCAGATTTGACCAGATTCTTACCCTGTTATTTACTTGTTTATTGTATTATTTGGTTTTTGTCTTACCCGCTTTCTGGAACCGTTCTTTGCCAGACTCCAACCCTGTCATCGTAGTCAACTCCCCTCTGCGTCTCCAGTCTGCCGACATACGCAGCAAGCTACTGAACACACTGGTAACAGTGGAAAAAACGTCCATAATGAGGTAAGCGGTCAACTAGGAAGGATGAAAAAGAACGTCATACCGCCCTGTAATGTCCGTTTTAAAGACAAAATGCAGCCATATGTACTTCTGGCTACATAATACGCATGGCTCCATTAATTTATATAGGGGACATTTTCACAATCAGCCTGTATGCCAATTTTATATTAATAATGCAGCAAAGTGTGAATTGGAGCTAAATAAATCAATCACTTATTCAATGATATTAAATTCAGATTAAAAGTGCAGTTTTAGTTCTTCAGACTTATTTTAAACAATGCATTTGTAAAAATACGTTTTTCAAGTTTTTTTGTTTTTTTTGGTTCTTGTTTTAAGGATAATTTATTTAAAATTGTGCTTTATTTGTGAACTTGGCCATAAATGCAGTCATAACTAAGTGACAATTTTTCAACCCAAGCTCATTCTAAAAATGTACCCCCTTAAACATTTCCGGAGAGCATCAAATACGTCACAGGAGGACTTTTTTTGTTGTTGCAGTTTTTGTGAATCAACCAGGGGCCACTGTGTACGCTTTTTGAGATCTCTTAAATTTCTCTCGCGGGTGCCATTCACACCTTCTCTTCTCACGTAAATCCACCAGAGGCTGCTGTTGACTGACTGACTGACTGACAGACTGACTGACTGACTGACTGACTGACCGATCGACAGACCCACCCTCCTCCTTCCGTAAACCCAACCAATAGTTTTCAAAAGCAGAAAAGTTCTAGTGTCCGCCTGATTTTTACTACGTTTTCAGATTTAACACATTCTTACCATGTTATTTACTTGTTTATTTTATTTTTTAGCTTCTGTTTTTATCCTAACTGGTTTCTGTAACCATTCTTTTCCGGACTCAAACCCTATTGTCGCTGTCAACTCCTCTCTGCCTCTTAAGTCCGCTGACGTACATGGTATTATATTATATTATATTATATTATATTATATTATATTATATTATATTATATTATATTATATTATATTATATTATATTATGTTATGTTATATTATATTATATTATATTATATTATTACATTATATTAAATTATATTAAATTATATTATATTATATTATATTATATTATATTATATTATTATATTAAATTAAATTATATTATATTATATTATAATATATTATATTATATTATATTATTATATTATATTATATTATATTATATTATATTATATTATATTATATTATATTATATTATATTATATTATGTTATATTATGTTATATTATATTATATCATTATATTATTATATTATATTATATTATATTATATTATTCTATTATATTATATTATATTAAATTAAATTATATTATATTATATTATATTATATTATATTATATTATATTATGTTATGTTATATTATATTATATTATTACATTATATTAAATTATATTATATTATGTTATGTTATATTATATTATATTATATTATATTATATTATATTATATTATATTATATTATATGGCGACGCAGTGGCGCAGTGGGTAGCACGTTCGCCCTTTACAGCAAGAAGGTCGCTGGATCGCTGGTTATATATTATATTATATTAAATTATATTATATTATAATATATTATATTGAAACTTAATGCTGACTCTGTGGTAAAAAGAAGGAAATTGACAAACTATTACAATTTAATGACAATTAATGAGTGTTTTGGAGCTGCAGCGGTTTTTCTGAGCGACCTCTTTTGTCTTTGACCCCTTTTTTGCCTGTGATGAAATTTCAGCAACAGAACAGACTTGAGCAGATGACAGAGAACCGTTCTGCTCTGCTAAGATGCCAAATCAACGGTCTGCTCTCTCCGAATCTGACTTTTCTCGCTGCACTGCGTATCTGACAATCTCATCCGAGAGCTCTGCGCCGAATATTAGCCCTCTTTCATCTTTTTTCCCCTTAAAAAAATAATGAATGCTCATAAATAAATAAATAAAGTTGGCTTAATGGCCAGCTGTAGGCTAGCGTGGGTTCCCCTGTGGCTTGTTATGAGCCGTGGAGTTTTTTTCCACCCAGATCTGAGCTCCATTCTCCCTCTCATTACGACCACACCAAAGACACGGGTACGGGTTATGTAACCTCCAAAACACAGATATGGAACATCTCCAGTTTCATGTGAAGCTAAATATCACGGATGGGCCTGTGGTCATGCCCTGCATAGTGACTGTATCAGCTGGTGAATTTCAAAGGAGAACACGTACTGTACCGTGAAATAATCGCATGGTATTTGAATGGTACTCCCATATTTTCTATATGTCAATGTTTATTTTTTTCGATAACATTACATATTTCCATATAGACATGCAGTTATTGCCATACTGTGTTTTATGGCATGACATTTATATGGTACTTCAAGTAAGTATCTATCTATCTATCTATCTATCTATCTATCTATCTATCTATCTATCTATCTATCTATCTATCTATCTATCTATCTATCTATCTATCTATCTATCTATCTATCTATCTATCTATCTATCTATCTATCTATCAGTCCATCCATCCTATCTATCTATCTATCTATCTATCTATCTATCTATCTATCTATCTATCTATCTATCTATCTATCTATCTATCTATCTATCTATCTATCTATCTATCTATCTATCTATCTATCTATCTATCTATCTATCTATCTATCTATCTATCTATCTAATCTATCTATCTATCTATCTATCTATCTATCTATCTATCTATCTATCTATCTATCTATCTATCTATCTATCTATCTATCTATCTATCTATCTATCTATCTATCTATCTATCTATCTATCTATCTATCAGTCCATCCATCCGTCCGTCTGTCCATCCATCCGTCCATCCTATCTATCTATCTATCTATCTATCTATCTATCTATCTATCTATCTATCTATCTATCTATCTATCTATCTATCTATCTATCTATCTATCTATCTATCTATCTATCTATCAGTCCATCCGTTCATGTCTATCGGTCCATCCATCTATCTATCTATCTATCTATCTATCTATCTATCTATCTATCTATCTATCTATCTATCTATCTATCTATCTATCTATCTATCTATCTATCTATCTATCTATCTATCTATCTATCTATCTATCTATCTATCTATCTATCAGTCCATCCATCCTATCTATCTATCTATCTATCTATCTATCTATCTATCTATCTATCTATCTATCTATCTATCTATCTATCTATCTATCTATCTATCTATCTATCTATCTATCTATCTATCTATCTATCTATCTATCTATCTATCTATCTATCTATCTATCAGTCCATCCATCCATCTATCTATCTATCTATCTATCTATCTATCTATCTATCTATCTATCTAATCTATCTATCTATCTATCTATCTATCTATCTATCTATCTATCTATCTATCTATCTATCTATCTATCTATCTATCTATCTATCTATCTATCTATCTATCTATCTATCTATCTATCTATCTATCTATCTATCTATCTATCAGTCCATCCATCCGTCCGTCTGTCCATCCATCCGTCCATCCTATCTATCTATCTATCTATCTATCTATCTATCTATCTATCTATCTATCTATCTATCTATCTATCTATCTATCTATCTATCTATCTATCTATCAGTCCATCCGTTCATGTCTATCGGTCCATCCATCTATCCATCTATCTATCTATCTATCTATCTATCTATCTATCTATCTATCTATCTATCTATCTATCTATCTATCTATCTATCTATCTATCTATCTATCTATCTATCTTTTTGTCTATCCATTTATCTGTCTATCGGTCTATCTGTCCATCCGTCTATCTGTCCATCCATCCATCCGTCTGTCTGTCTCTCTATCCGTCTTTCTATCTGTCCATCCGTCCGTCCTTCTGTCCG